TTTTTTTCCTCGGTGTGTTTCTCTGGAGATTCATGGAAGGTGTTAGATGTGTTTTTGTTTTGAGATGGTAACCGCGTCATGGAGTTCCTCGGGCTGGGCTTCAATTTGCACTTCTGCTCCAGCCGGCAGAGTGCTGGGATCCAGGCTTGGGCATCACACTTGGCTCTGCATTATTGACAGCGTACCTGCCTGGGTGTCTGTGCCCTACAGGCTGAGACTCCTGGAACCCAGCCACAGCACACCTGTGGGTCATCCTGACTCCCCATTTCAGGACGGTGAGCAAGCCTGCCCCTTTGCACATGCCCTGGAGCGAGAGTTGCCTATTTACACCTTCCATTCCCGGGCGTCCTTCGGCTGTCAGCTGTTGCAGAGGAACTCTCACCCGTGGCCTTCGCTGCCCTGGCCTCAGCTTTTGGATCACTGCCTTGACTTCCCTTCCTTGCCAGTTCTTCATTTGTACAGAACCAGGACTTCACAGCATTCAGTCTGGCCAGAAAATCACCTTCAGAATTGTTCTATTAAAAAAAAATAAATAAAATTTGGCATCTTTGCTGAGGGTTAGGGAAATATCTCCATGTGTGACTGGGGCATACATTTCACATAGAATTGAACTTTAGGATGCAGTATCATTTTTGTGGGATGATTTGCTTAAGGCTTGTCTTCTCTTCGGAGTTCAAGTTCTGTGACCTCACGGCCCTGGATGCTTCGCTCCTCTCCCCGCCTCATGAGGCGCAGGTGTCTCATTGTCCTAGTCTGTGGCACCCCCAATCGGGACAGCTGAGGCCTTGGGCCAGGTGCTGTGTGTCGCACTGGGGTCTGCAATCTGGGCAGTCTGTGACCTGGAGCACCAGGGAGCAGGTGTTGGGTGATCACACCTCTAAAACCTGTGGGAAGCGGGAATGGATGGAAAGGCCAGAAGGCCTAAAAGCTGCAAGGACTGAGAGCCTCAGAAAGAACGGAGCCCCCTCTGGGAAGTGGATGCTTGCTGGAAAGCAGCAGCTCTCAAAGGCTGTTTCTAGAAGATGCTTCCTCAACATGCGCCAAAATGAGGGAATAATGCAGATCTTTGTTCATTTTCCAGGTGATTTTTGAAGTGATTACCTCTGGACACCAGGGCTACCTCGCTATTGATGAAGTGAAGGTGCTGGGCCATCCATGTAGTAAGTTGTCTCTGCTTTTACATGCACAGTGCTTCCCTGGGGACACGTTTACACCGCAGGCCAAGGGAAGGGGCTCAAACCTCCCACGGGAGGGTCCAGTCATTCCCAGGGGGTGCTTAGCCAGCCCCATGTTCACATGCACATTTCCTGTACAAATCCAGGGTTTCCATGTATCTCAAGTATCTTTAAAATGAAAATCAGGACTAGAGGGAAAGAAATGCCCAGCTCTGCTCAGGTGTCCTCACAGAGCCTGCCGGTCTGTCACCTAGCTTTGCAGAGCAGCCCAGCATTCAGTGACGGGAACGGGTGGATCGCCTTCCTGCATCAGATAGCTTTTTGCTGCTATCCCTTAGCTGTGTCAGATAGTTTTACAATAGTGTCAGGACAGGTAAGGCATTTGCCTGCTGCACAGCACCTCCCCATGCTAGCTGGCACCTCAGAAGTGACCAGTGCTCAGCTTTTACAAATCGGTACTTTAAAACAGCATCACACTTTGTGAGAGCCCCTAATGCGAACGACCTTCCCAGTGGTCGCCATTCCCGTAGGCAGCTCAGATGGCACTGGCTTCCAGCCCCAGTTTTCCCAGCCCAGCACCTGCATGGTGACTGCTTTGGTGGCTGCTTTCATTGGGAAAACCTTTAGTAAAAGAGAGCAGGGTGGCAGATGGAATCTGAGAACCATGGACAGTCCGGGCCCAGACAGTGAGGCCCCAAACCCGAAGCTGCGCTTGCCGCCCGGGGTGCTGCCACAGTGCAGATTCAGGGCCAGGCCTGTGGCCCTGGGAAGGGCACCATCTCCAGGCCCCTAGGCCTCTGCATCTTTAGCCTTGGTGTGAAGGTGGGATGGTTGGCTGGGCCAGCTCCATCGGGTCCCTCACCTCCTGGCACTGGGCACGATCCAGGACCTCAGCTGTGGCTGTTCCATTCTGCCATGAGGAACTGATCTGGGAAGTCAGGTTGGGGCTTCTCCACCCTGCCCTGGAGCAAGCAGGGGCAGGGCATTGACCAAGATCCTGCCATGCTGGCATCGAACCCTCAGATGTCTGCTGTGCCTTTTCCTGTTACCCATTACTTTGTACGTATAAAGCCCCAAAAGTACAATGTGTCGTCTGAATTTTAATGAGGTCTCCAGCTGCAGACACACGTGTGTATGGTTGCTCCTCGGTAACCCGAGAAGATTGGTTCGAGTCCCAGAGTCTTCTACTTGTGCCCTTATAGTGTGGCCTGGCCTTTGCATGGGGTGGCATACATCCTCCCCTAGGTGACTTGAGTCTCAGCATTGGTTCTGTGAGCAGCTGGCAGTGGACAGGGGCCGTGCATGCTCGTATTGAGGGAAGGGGCACTTTGTGCTTTTCACATATTTTTGATCCGCAGCTGGTGGAATCTACAGATGTGAACTCATGTATGAAGTGCCGAGCTCTTCAATTTTTCCTCTTCTACTTCGTGCTACATTATTTTAGGTCAGGTCAACCCCTGGTATCCTATTACAGAGTTATGTTACGTTTTATTCTCCTATCAACAGTCAGCGCCCTGCCTGTGCAGCTTGGTGCGGTGTGCCCGCCCTCAGCGTTGTTTGTCTGTCCCAGCGGCGGTGCATGGTGCAGCGAGACACACTTTCAGATTTATTAGCTGCCACAGTGTGCTCCGAAAGGTGCCCACACCGGCTCAGCCCTGCCGGCAGTGCCTAGAAGTTGTATTTCCCATGTATCCTTGCCCAAAATTAATACTGTCGGCTGTACTTTCTTGGCCATGGCAGCGATGGCAGCCTGCTTTATTTTTAGAATCCCTGGCATCGGGAGAGACTGGCTGGGCTTCTGCAGACAGCCTGACCCAAATCGTGAAAGAATGGTTACAGCTACTGGGTTAAAAATATAAACGCCCACAGGAGTTTCGGTGCTCCTCTCTCTCACAAGGATTTGAATAGATGTTTGAGGACGCCCTGTTTTAGTGATGGAGTCACTGGGTGGTTGTCACCCGAGGGGCATCGTGACACAGCTGTCCTGTCCCATTCAAGTCTCACTGGCTCTGACACTGCCATCCTGGCTCTGAAGCTTGGTCACGTGGGCGACTTACCACGGAGCTGTCACCGTGGACCTCAGCACCCAGGCAAATGGGGCATGTGGCGTGTCACATTTGCCTTTTCTTCAGTGTCCACAGGACTGCAGAGTTCAAGAGTTTCTTCCCTTTTTCTTCCTGAAAAGGCAGGCAGACCAACAATACTGAGCCTAGTGGAAGCAACAGGACAGTTTGGGAAGCAGAGTGTAGTTCCCTGCGTAGGAGTGTGGCCAGATTCTCGGAGGCCGGGCCAGCTGCAGGCTTGAGCAAGAGCCGCAGGGTTTTCTCGCACGGCCAGCGTTCCTGGCCTCTCTCCCTGCCTCAGGAGGGAGGACAAGTGGCTTCCCTGCAAGACAGGTGTCCTGGGCTCAGGCACAGGTGTGCGGCCACGCCCGCATCTGTATTCTGGGCTCCTTCCTATGCTTTCCTACCTGTAGCCCAGGAAGGCGGCCTGAGGTGCAGCCCCTGCCGCTCTTCTGGATTTTCAGCTTTGTGCTGAAATTAGGACGTAGAGGTCTAATGCTAACCCTCTCTCGGTGCTTCCTGGAAATGTGTTCTGCTGTGCTTTTCTGTCTTCCTGGGGAGCCGGCTTCCAGGGCCATAGAAACCGTGTTTATGGGCTTCCTTCAGAGAATACCTCTGTGAATACCTAATTGGCTTTGCAGAGAGCTGCTCTGAACAGCCACAGAATTGCAAAACAGCCTCTGTATCCAGGTGATGTATGCCGCAGCGGTTCTCTGAACTGAACGCTTAAAATGCTTTGATGATAGCCTTTCTGTAGTTATTTTTTCCTGAATCTCTTAAGTTTATGGGGAAAGCATACAAATAAAGATTTTTAAGGATTAAGGCATTAGTGTGATCTTAAAATGGGAAGCTTTGCAGGTAATAGGTTACAAAATATGCTACCAGGATTTCTAAATAGTAATCAATTATTTGTGAAATTTTGACACTCATTAAATTTAGATCCCAAAGAGATATAAATATTTCATGTCTAAGACTGAGCTGCTCACGTGGCTGTGGAGTTGTTGAGTCTCATTTAGTTCACAAGAAAGACTCATGTTCAGATTCATATAGGTTTATGAGTAGGCATTACAGCTTTTTTTAATAGTAGCTGTTTTCAAACAAGTATACAGTTGCTCATAAAATTGATTTTAATATAGTGACAGTAAAATGCAGGATCAGCCTGAAATGTGGAGGTGGCTGTGCCGAATCAGCAGCCTCTGCCTTAAAGCCACCTCAGTAAACAGAGCTAGCTCTTGCATTCGGCGTGCGCACTGTAGATATACTTGGGATTTGGCTCCATAGTCCTCACAGGGGAAACTGAAGAAGCATTTCTCAGCTTTCTAACATCACCTCCTATTTTTAAACACCTTGTGAGCTGCACACGTGTGGGTGTTTCTATGTCTGTGATCACACGGTGCTGATACATTTTCTTATGTGTTGTAGTCCACATAGAATATGGGGTATTGAGACAGAATTCACATATCAGCAGGCTCTCCATGTAGGTACAGGCCAGTGGCTAGTCTTGAACTCAGAATTATGAGAATACTTCAGCAGTCAACTTCAAAACATTTTCATCCCTTCTTCCTACAACACACCTGCCTCACATCCAGCCTGAGGCAAGCATTACTCTTGTCTCTATCTCTATGGATGAACTCATTCTGTACGCTTCATTTAAGTTTGGCTTCTGTGTGTGTCTGGCTTCTTTGCCACAGCATTAGCTTCGAGCTTGGTTCCTGTGGTAGTGCCGTCCGTACTTTATGCCTGTCTGAAGCGGAGTAGCATCGTCCTGTAGATGTAGCTCTCCACATTTGATCGCATGGTCACCAGCTGATGGAAATTCAGGTGGCTGTCGCCTTCCTGCCATTGAGAAGCGCCGCTCTGGGGTCTCTGCCAGGTTTCGTGTGGACATGTGCCTCCAGTTCTCATGCGTACAGACCGAGGAGTGGCATTGTGGGTCTCCCAGTAACACTGTGGTTAGCAGTTTGAGGAACTGTGAAATTATTTTTCAAATTGACTGCATATGTGCACCCTGGACAGCCATGTTCTTGGCAGTACTTAGGTCTTTTCTGTCATGGCTATCTTGGAAGTTGCATTTCTGGTTCCGGTCTTGCAGAGTCTTCCTATGTGCCTACTGGTTATGTGCACCCCTCCCTGGGAGAAATGTCTGTTTACATCCATTCCCCATTTTCAGTTGATTGTTCATCTTTTTTGTTATTCAGCTGTAATTTTGTTTTCAGAATCTGAGTTATCCCTTGTCAGACACATGGTTGGAAAACATTTCCCACCAGTTGGTTGACCTTTCATTTCTGTGTTGGAATCCTTTACCCCACTCCCTGTACAGATTTCTGTGTTGGAATCCTTTACCCCACTCCCTGTACAGATTTCTGTGGTGGAATCCTTTACCCCACTCCCTGTACAGATTGAGATTTTGATAAAGTCCAGCATTCTGTGTCTACATGTCATTTGTGTCACTCATGTTCTTTCCATTCTCTCTGCCGCCCTCCCTGTTCCATCTCTCGACTCCATCCCCATTTGAGAAAGTTCTGTCCTCCTATTTCATGTAAGCTGTATCCTCGTTGGCCTCTTATTTACACTGTGGGTTTCACACATAAGAGAAGCTATCCAAATGTGCAGATTGTGTGTCTGACTTAGCTTACTTCACGTCACAGTCTCAGGCCACGTCCATTTATGTACAGATGACTCAAGCTTATCCTCCTTTATGGTAGAGTTATGCTCCAGTACAGGCCCATTTTCCTCATCCATACCCTTGTCAGTGGACATGGAGGGTGCTTCAAGAAGTTTCTGGTCCTCCCCACAGGTCTCAGAGGGCTCGCCAGTTACTGCTTATCTGTGGTGCAGGAACAGGTGCGCTTTCATTCTTTCTGCAAGTGGAGCTTCAGCCTTTCCAGCCCCATTTGTCCACAGACTGTTCTTTTTCTAGTT